GTAACCAAATTTTATAGTGACCAGTTTTAATTAACATCATTTTGAAATTTTAAAATTTCTCTCAGTCCATTTAGTGTTAACACGTGATTATTATTATGATTATTCAGTATTTTTGTTTAAGACTTATTATTATTATTATTTTTGTCTTATTTTGGTTCAGTAGAAGTATTCTGTATTTTTTTTTCTAAACTACCTTTGTAAAAAGATTAATTATTTTATTCAATAAAGTCATTTATTATTATTATTATTAAAATTACTATACTAAGTGACATATAAATCCGAACACCCAGTTTAAATGGTTTTATTTTAATAAAATTTTGTATAAGTACTTAGTGAAGCATAATAAGTAAATGATAAAAATTTCAAAATGATTACACTGCTTTAAAGCCCTTTGACCTTTAATAATGTGTGGATGCATCCTGATATGCTACGCATTCTCCAACGCGCCTAGGCATGCTTCTGATCAGGTGGCCAATGTCCTCCTGTGGTATCTCATTCCAGGCAACCACCAACTCCTCTCGAAGTGCTTCTAGAGTCGGAGAAGGACGTTGCAAATTGAGCAATCTCCTACCCATCATATCCCACACGTGCTCAATTGGGGATAAGTCGGGAGATCTTGGTGGCCATGGTAACAATGTGACATCATTATGTTGAAAGAAGTCTATTGTGACTCTTGCAACATGTGGTCGGGCATTATCTTGTTGGAAAGTTGGATCTGCCAGGGTGTCAAGATAGGGTAAAAGATGGGGTTCTAGAACTTCGTGGATATAACGCTGCGCGTTCATGTTACCTCTGATGAAGATTAAAGGTGACCTGGATCCATCAGCTATAGCACCCCAAACCATAACTCCAACAGTGTGATGAACATGTCTTTCAACAAAAAACTGTGGATTCCTCCTTTCACCACGTCGCCTTCTAACCCTGGCACGACCATCGTGCATGCCTAAACAAAATCGAGACTCGTCACTAAAGACAATACTGTTCCATTGCTGATCCCAGAGTGACCGTTGTCTGCACCACTCAAGGCGATTACGTCGGTGTTCTCGAGTTAAAGGCAGGACCCAGTGTGGCCGGTATGAAAACAAGCCAAAACTTCTCATTCGTCGGTAAACACTTCGCATGCCAATAGGTCTTCCGTGTTCTGCAAACCATTCATTTGCAATGGACTTGGTAGTGGAGAAATGGTCCCTTAAGGCCAATAATCTTATGCGGCGATCTTCACAGTCTGTTGTTCTACGGCGGCGTCCAGTGCCCCTTGCTCTTTGCGTACGGCCTTCTCGAAGCCATGCCTAACAACACCTAACCACAGTGTCTACACTTCTTTGCACTCTAACTGCAATTGCCCGAAAAGAAAGTCCAGCTTCTCGAAGTCCCACTATACGGCCCCTATCAAACTCACTAAGTTGACGAAATCGTACAGGTCTCCGTACTCTAGGCATCCTAACCGATCGTAAAGGATGTCAAGAACCAAAATCCGCCAACGTTGATTCTTTACTGCGGCTGAAATATTCATTTTTAGAGCGTTGGTGAATTAAAAAAAAGCAGTATAAAAACCGGAATGTCCAACTGATAAGGCTGAACATTTTTTCACTTGTTATTTACAGTAAGATAAATACAAAATATGGACCGATGATTCCACCGACCTTTAAACCACACCAAACCGTTGTTTTCGCTGGATGTAATGGCAGCTCTTGAACCACTTCGGGTTGTTCTTCACCCCAAATACGACAGTTTTGTTTATTAACGTGGCTGTTAAGCCAAAAATGGGCCTCATCGCTAAACAAAATTTTGCTCTAAAACATCGGATCTTCTTCAAGCCGTGCAAGAGCCCAAAGACTGAAACGATGACGCTTTGGAAGGTCGGCCGGCTTCAGTTCTTGAACGAGTTGAATTTTGTATGGTTTCAAATTAAGTTTCTTACGTAAAATACGCCAAGTTGTTGAATACGACAAGCCAAGCTGTTGAGAATGGCGCCGAATCGATTCTTCACGGTCCTCACGTATACTCTCAGCTACGGCAGCTATATTTTCTTCACTGCGTGCTGGATGTGGTCTATTTGGTCGGGTATTATCCAATAATGAAAATTGGGTTTCAAATTTTTCGACCGTACGGCGAATTGTGCGTTCGGTGTGCCGATTATGTACACCATAAGTTGCTCTAAGTGCACGAAACACACTTCTCGCAGAACGTTGATTTTCGTAGTACAGCTGAATTATTTGTAGACGCTGTGCTGGACTAAGTCTTTCCATGATGAAATGTCGAACAATACTGAAACAGAAAATGTCAAATTAGTTGTCATGACGCATGCGCCATAAGCAATTACAGCCACACCAAAAAAGTACCTCTAAATGAATCACCCGTTATTTAAAAAACAGTGCAGCAGAATTATTTGCAATTGACGACAAATACGAAAATTTCAGTAACTAAAAGAGCTGCATTAAAAACGTTTCTTATGTTCTTTCGACATTTTTCTTCGTACGACTTGACTGGTTTATAGATTGGATGAACTAGTCTCTATAAGGATATCTGAAGCTTATTTCAAGGTCACTTCAAGGGCAAAGTCTAGACGCATGTCATATAGTCTTTAGCGGTTGTTGAGTCCAAATCAGAGACCATCCTGTCACTAGAAAAGCATATGAAGGAATTTTTAAGGCTACTCAGAAGGTAATTTTGAAAACTTTGAATAACATTTTCCGAACACTTGTCATAATATACGAGGTTTCAAATATTAGAAAAAACTGACTAGATGTCGTGTAGCAGTATTTCAAGGTTCACAAACATCATAATATATTGCAATTGGGGCAATGGGCGGAACTTTACTAAAAAGAGCACTCATATACAGGGTGGTGCATCAAAAACGAGGCAGACGCATTTACTGGCAGCTCACTTTTTTTTTAGAAAAACGTTCAGACCCGTCGATTTTGTTTTCGAGGGAAACACAAGTTTGGCAAAAAATCACGTTAACACGTGCAGCCCCCTGGGCGGGGGTGACACCAACCCTAAAATCTTAAATGGAAAGGGGGGTCGAGTGATACCTTATTTTAACCGTCTTTCAATTCCCTTTATAATGATATAAAATTAATTTACTTCAGTTTGGTAGATTTACTGATTTAAAGCTTAAAGGAGACTTTAATAGGTACATCAGATTGGTTGGTACTACTTTCAGAAGAAATTTGACTAAAAGAATTTACTTAATAAGTAAATGCTTGTCTTCACTACGCCCATGGTTTGTTTATCATTTTGTTGTTGAAAATAGCTATTGGGGCATTTTTTTGTGGCAAAAGATAAGGAAATATCTCGTACTTATTTTAAATAGGAATTTAGTACATATACTAAGTGACATATAAATCCGAACACCCAGTTTAAATGGTTTTATTTTAATAAAAGTTGGTGAATGTATTTTTCTTTCTGTAAATAACAAATGAAAAAATTTTCAGCCTTATCAGTTGGACATTCCGGTTTTTATACTGCTTTTTTTTTAATTCACTAACGCTCTAAAAATGAATATTTCAGCCGCAGTAAAGAATCAACGTTGGCGGATTTTGGTTCTTGACATCCTTTACGATCGGTTTCGATGCCTAGAGTACGGAGACCTGTACGATTTCGTCAACTTAGTTTGATAGGGGCCGTATAGTGGGACTTCGGGAAGCTGGACTTTCTTTTCGGGCAATTGAAGTTAGAGTGCAAAGAAGTGTAGACACTGTGGTTAGGTGTTGTCAGGCATGGCTTCGAGAAGGCCGTACGCAAAGAGCAAGGGGCACTGGACGCCGCCGTAGAACAACAGACCGTGAAGATCGCCGCCTAAGATTATTGGCCTTAAGGGACCGTTTCTCCACTACCAGGTCCATTGCAAATGAACGGTTTGCAGAACACAGAAGACCTATTTGCATGCGAAGTGTTTACCGACGAATCAGAAGTTTTGGCTTGTTTTCATACCGGCCACACGGGGTTCTCCCTTTAACTCGAGAATACCGACGTAATCGCCTTGAGTGGTACAGACAACGGTCACTCTGGGATCAGGAATGGAACAGTATTGTCTTTAGTGACGAGTCTCAATTTTGTTTAGGCATGCACGATGGTCGTGCCTGGGTTAGAAGGTGACGTGGTGAAAGGAGGAATCCACAGTTTTTTGTTGAAAGACATGTTCATCACACTGTTGGAGTCATGGTTTGGGGTGCTATAGCTTATGGTTCCAGGTCACCTTTCTCTTCATCTTTTACCCTATCTTGACACCCTGGCAGATCCAACTTTCCAACAAGATAATGCCCGACCACATGTTGCAAGAGTCACAATAGACTTCTTTCAACATAATGATGTCATATTGTTACCATGGCAACCAAGATCTCCCGACTTATCCCCAATTGAGCACGTGTGGGATATGATGGGTAGGAGATTGCTCAATTTGCAACGTCCTCCTCAGACTCTAGAAGCACTTCCAGAGGAGTTGGTGGTTGCCCGGAATGAGATACCACAGGAGGACATTGACCACCTGATCAGAAGCATGCCTAGGCGCGTTGGAGAATGCATAGCACATCAGGGTGCATCCCCACATTATTAAAGGTCAAAGGGCTTTAAAGCAGTGCAATCATTTTCAAATTTTTATCATTTACTTGTTATGCTTCATTAAGTACTTATACAAAGTTTTATTAAAATAAAACCATTTAAACTGAGTGTTCGGATTTATATGTCACTTAGTATATTAAACTTTTTAGTCTAAATTCATCGACATTGACATCTAAGATTGCTTCCCAGTACTGCTTAGTATAATTGGGTAGCTTGTGGCACTGAAGCCGAATTTGTCGTCAAATTTTGGGTGGTTTTAGATCCGTACTGATATTAGATTCAGAATCTGCGCAGCGTTTTCACCCAGAGAAGATTTCCCTTTTTTCTTAATGGAGCTTCTACTCTAGATATACAGGCACTCTGTATATGTCTCATAACGTTGCACATATACCTGAGACAGGAGAATGTAATTCATAGTTCATAAAATAAAACTGCACTATATATAACAAAGCGTATATTAAAAATGAGTAATTCTTAAAAATACAACAATAGGAATAATTCGTACATTACATACAAAAATTACGAATAATACAAAAGGCATCACATTTGATCGAGTAAAGATCTATATATACACAGGCGTAGATGATTATCTACACAGTAACTACTATTGTAAGGGACAGTCTTGGATATACAGGGTGAGGCAGCGAAACGGATGATCTTGAACTATATGCTAAAGCTCAACGAAGGCTCATCAAAAAAATATAGTCAATATCGGAGAAACTTTACTTCTCTGATGCAAGTCTTTAGCTTCAATGCCTTTGCATGTTGATTTTGCTAGCGTGTATTTCTGTAAAAACATTCATTTTTTAACACAATCACAAATTTTACTGCTTCGATCTGTATCTATATTATGAAGTAATTTATATTATTGTGAAAAATATATTTGTGTACTTGGTTAAATGTTTGGATGGCAATAACAACGATTAAAACATAAAAATCATTTTAGAGTATTGTGTATTTTTTTATCGGTACTAACAATATAGATGCTTTTTCATCTAGATTAGTATACACAGAGAGAAATTATCAAACATAGACGCGAAGTTTTAGTATTTTTTGGCAATGCTATACTTTGGCAAGGTATATAAGTTCAGAGATCGGTATCTCTCATTTTGAAGCCCAATTTAATTTGGAGTTATAAAACAAATACTTGCTTAAATATCTTGATGTACAAACTGAGAGAGAAGTCCACGAAATTTTGACCGGAATAAGGCAGATTTTTACATTTTCCAATAACTGTCGACACTGTGCTTGATCATAAACGATATAAGTGAGTATTTAAGAAATTACTTCTAACATCTGTGTTTTTCGATATTAACCGTAACTTTGACAGCTCTTGTCAACTCTTTCTTCTACTTCTGCTAATGTTTCCGCTTATAGTTATCCAAAAAGTTTTATCCAATATAATTCTAATTATTTTTCAAAGAGCCTGCATCTTTGGCAGATGGACGATTCTATCGACAATACGTAATCGCTTCCTTTCCTAAAAGACTATCTTTTCCTCCTTGTACTCTGCCTCCTTTCTTTCCTTTTTCCATTAACATTGTCTTGTTTCCGGATTATCCGACCTGATAAACTTACCAACTGTGCACTAACAACCAACTGAATGGAACCATATTCACTATAAAAAGTCTCCTTAAGTCAGTTGGTTCAGGAAATATCACCGAATAATCCTTCAGTTACACTGACACTCACAATCTTTGTATACACTCTTAACTTTTCAGTCCCACCGTTTCAAAGGAACTTGTTCTTTAATACTGCGATCCTCAAGTTCGTTTCTTCGCTTTGACGCCTTTCTTTGGATCAATTTGGTGTTACAAGCTTTGTAGCAAAGGCAGAACTGTGCCAGAAGACCTGCAGATATGCAGAAAACTCCTACGGCTAGACATATGATCTCGAAATGGACCAGAAGCTTGATGCTCATGGTCATGTCCTCCGGAAGGAGGACATGTTGTTCGAAGTACAGCACCGGGAAGAAGACCGTGGGAAGGTCTCGGTATAATCTGGAAAAATACGACACTGATCAACAGCCAAAAAATATCCTAAATAAAATCAACAAAATATTACTATTTTTAATGTGCTAAAACCGGAATGAAACTTATTTTTTCAATATTAGTTCAAGTTTTAGAGATACGGTAATTATATGTGTTCCTGCTGTGACAGTGTTAATATACTGTAATTCACAAGAATGCACGTGCTACATTTTTATATTCGGCAAGGAAAGATGCTGTAATCGGCATGATTGTGTTACGTTATACATACATGTACATTATAATGTTTTATATTAGCCATTTTTTCCTCAGTTGGCTGACAGCGTTCATGCAAGATGTCTCGAAAGTGTGTAAACAATCCAGATCAGTTTTGTTACGTGTGTGGGGATGTTACTTTTGCGTCTCATAGACGGTCTATTACTCCACTAATAACAAAGGCATATCAGCTTTATTCCGGTTGTAAACTAGGTGATCAAGACAAACAGTGGGCACCCCACATCTGCTGTAATACATGTGCTTCAAGTCTGAGGAGCTGGTTAAATGGCAAAAAACGGTCTATGCGCTTTGCTGTCCCAATGGTTTGGAGAGAGCCTACAAATCATATTAATGATTGTTATTTGCATGGTACCTTGTGTTGGACAAGCCACAGGTAGGTCCAAGAAAAAAAAATCGGTTATTAACTACCCAAACATACCATCTGCGATGAGACCTGTGCCTCACAGTGACGAAAATACTATTCCAAAACCCCCAGAATCCTACACTTGCGAATCAGAAAACGAATCAGATCATGGCGATCGAGTGATTCGTCAGGAAGAAGATATGCCATCAACGTCAAGAGATCCTGATTTTATACCGAGCACGTCATGCCACCAACCGCACAAAATAACACAGTCAGAATTAAATGATCTTGTAAGAGATTAAGAACTTCCAAAATGTAAGGCAGAGTTACTTGGATCAAGACTGCAGCAGTGGAACTTGTTAAAAGACGATGTTTCGGTATGTGTTTTTCGTAAACGCCACAAAGACTTAGAACCATTTTTCATTATGGAGAATAACTTGGTTTTCTGCAGTAACATTAACGGCTTACTGGCGGCTTTAAATATAAACTATAACCCAGAAGAATGGAGATTGTTTATAGACAGTTCAACATTGAGTTTAAAGGCAGTGTTATTGCATATTGGAAATATTTTACCATCTCTTCCTGTAGGGTATGCAGTTCACATGAAAGAATCATATCGATGGTGTCAATGCAATACCTCGTACCTACGAAATGTCAAAATTTCAGGAGACAATGTTTTGCATAATAATTAATACTTGTAAGTGTTTTATTTAGTTTAACATTGTTCTAGGCCTCTAAACAAGCGAAAAAATTATTATTTTAGGTTGTCTTCTAAGAAATAGGTATTTAGTAATTATTATGTGAGATACGAAGTATTGCACAAAATTTTTCGTCAACTTTGGAACTTACGAGGTATTGTACTTATAATGAAAACCCATTTAGATTTTAGAACAATTTTATATCAAATCCATTAAAATACAAAATAGAAGATACACAAAAACTATATCCAAGTTACAGTAAAAAAATGAACAGGAAACAAGGAAATATAAAAATAATAAAAACCTATTTGAAAGGTAAACTGTCATAAAATGGCCAATAATTTTGACTAATTTTGGTTTTTATTTCTTGTAAATGATCGTATTTCTTCTTTGCAATTGGCAGTTTGTGCTCAAACAATTGGAGAAATTGGTTTATGTCGTTTGGGGTCCTTCTTGGACGCTGAGGTAATTCTGCAAACTCTTGGTCGAAATTAATTTTGTATGTTATCAAGCCTTGTTCATACTGCAGTGCCCTTATCTGCGTGACTGTCGGATCATTGGATTTTTTACCAGGGCGGATTGAATAGTAGACCAAATCGGCACTATAGTTTTTGAAAAAAGTAAAATCTGGAGTTACGACTTCATAAGGAAATGGTTTTTGACGCGCTTCTCCAGCAAGACGATAGTAATCATTTGGTATTTCGATGTTCCTATTTTTTAGCTTTCTTTCAATAACAGCATGAACACTATCACATTCCATTTGAGAATGACCTTTAATCAGGAACTTTTGAGTTATTTGCACATTATATTGGCGTGATAGACTAAGCAGAGCATTTGCCATGGTACTGTTTCTATTCTGATATGTGCAACCATCAGAATAAATTATTATTGGTTTTATGTGGGATGCATTTTGAAGATACTTTTTTGTTAAATAGTCTACAAGAAGTGATGCAAACGTGGACGCTTGAAGATCTGCGTCCAGCTCAGTGAACCAATAGCAAGTACATTGATTTGTAGCTAGATCGTATACAGTAAAATTATGGCATACAAGCTTAGTTTTAAAGAAAAGCGAACTCGCTTGTAAATAAGGACAAGTTTTAACGGCTTGCAGATCTACTGTAATAACATGACAGACTCCCTGCATTGCTTTTTCTTTATCATATTTTTTTTCTTTTTGAGCTCTCTCTTTGTCTGTTCTATGTTGTTCCCAGTCTTCTAGGCTTATATTTTGAGATTCATACTGTACACATGTATCACACCGATCCTTGCGAGGCTTGAATATACCAATATTCTTTTTATGTACCCACTTTATTAATGTATTTCTACTGGCTGGTGCTGTGTTTTGTGTTTTTTAATAATCCACGAAAGCTTTATATAAGTCTGAGTAATTAGAAAACTCATGTTCAAGGTACAACTTTGTAGTGTCTTTGCGACAATAGTGACTAGGAAGCTTTGGCAGTTTTTCTAGAAATGTTGTTATAAATCATTTTGGGATTTTCTGGGTAATCTGCGACTGTTAGTTTCTGCTCCACTGGAAGGTGTACCGTAATGCGATGTCTCCATCCAGCTCTTTATACTCCATTCCTCAAGCCCCAGAGTTCCCAAAAACATTTTTTTACAGACGGGTATAAGCTTATCACCAACATTCAAATCTTTTGTTTTTCTAGACGTCTCCTGTCTTGAAACAAGGTTGCAGACATATACCTTCCTTTGGTCCCAACTCAGGTTCTTCCAAAAAGCTGTAAAAATTTCTTTTCGTGCTTCTTCTCTGATTTTATTACATTTTCTTTTTGAGCTGTTCTTACAGGTTTCTGAGTTACACCTTTCGCCTTGTTTCCGCTCTTCTCTTTCTATATCTTGAAACGTTCTTTTTTCATTTCGTGGTCGCTTAAATCCTGTATAAGCCATACCCTTCATTCTAAGTTCCTTATTTCTTTTACGTTTGGACCCAGACTGTGAACTGAAATTATTGTTCGGTTCTTCGTTGATGATAATTGGTGGATTTGTTCCTACGTCCTCCACTGTCGAAGAGCTTCTGTTGGAATGACACATTGAAATTTGATTTATATGAATAGGTGCATCTTCAGCGGAAATGATATCCCGCTGTACCCTTGTCTCTTCTAAAACACCATTTTGATCGGCAACCACACTTGAGGAACCTATTACTGAGTGATTATTTATAGCATCTAGGCTGATGTCATGGATTACATTCTGTACAGAAAATGGCACTATTTCATGTTGGTTGGTGTCTAAATTTTCAGGCATACTTGTAGTAGGAGAACCATCGTTCAGATTTTCGGCTACTGCTAGTTCGAAAGCGGGTGATGTAGTGCTATTCTGTAGTTCAAGGAAATCTGATTTAGGACTACGTGGTTCCTCTAAATTTTCTCTGCTATCCACATTATTGTCTGTATTATCGAAAACTATCTCTGCTTGGTCTATTAATTTTTCAAAATCCATAGTTTGCTGCTCTTGAGTTGGAGAAATATCTGAAACAATATTTTTTCAATCAAAAAACCTATAGGAGATAATTTTTCCTCAAGTACTACTATGATTTAGGAAAAAAGTTGTTCATTTATTTCACACATGACCAACCAAAAAAAGTATCCAGTAATTTATATAATTATTATATTTAAACCTTTAATAGGATGGGCGAGGAGGGTGAATTTTTAGCCGTCACAATGTTTTCTGGCATTATAAAAATGTAACGAAGGGAAAGCATAACTGATAAGAAAATAAGACATCAAATCAATGGGAACTATCATCTAATCCTATGGTATACATTCTGTTATTAATATATAAATAATTATAACTTACTTGTGCTTGACAAGGACGCAGCTTGGCACATTTCCAATATTTTTTTGTCACGCATCTTGCAATTTTTGATCTATAACAAAAATAACAAATTGCAAGGAGAAGCACTTATCTGACATGTAAATTCATATTTTGACAGGTCAATAGCACGTATCTACGAAACAACTGCTCGTATCGCTAGGCAATAGCTTGTATCTTCTAAATAAGAAATATTTTGTCAATTTCAATGCCACGTATCTGCCACAACTACATAATACAAGCTGAAATAACATTAGTTGCTAATTTTCTTGCCAAATATGTCATACAACTACATGTTTAATATATATACTAATACCTACAATAATTAAATCAAATATAAAACGATTTCTTACCTTATTTTTCTGCGTTAAAGTATCAACACTCACATAAACACTCTACAGAAGACGCCATATTTTTAGAGATACGAGGTATTGCACGAATTTGAGCGGGAATTATGGGTAAATGCAAGCCAAAAAGGAGCCGTTTGATTGTTCAGCACTGTCATGCTCTCTAGCTCTTTGTCTATAGCGGGTAATTCAAATTTATCAAAAAATGGAGATACGAGGTATTGCCTTGACACCATCGATATGACAATATGAAGTACCTATTGACATGCATAAAATACCATGAGCACCAATGGCATATTTGTGGCGATTTGAAAGTTGTTGCACTTTTACTTGGGCTGCAGCTAGGCTACACAAAGTTTTGCTGTTTTTTGTGTGAATGGGACACTCGGGCAAAGGCACTTCATTACACCAGACAAAACTGGCCTGTTCGTCAATTCCTAGAGCCAGGTCAAAAAAATGTACAGCATATGCCATAAGTAGATTCGAAAAAAATTTTATTACCACCACTGCATATCAAGTTGGGCCTAATGAAAAACTTTGTCAAGGCATTAGATAGAGATGGGTCAGCTTTTCAATACCTGCGTCAGAAATTTCCAAGACTAAGTGAGGCAAAGGTTAAAGAAGGTATTTTGAAAGATACAGAGTTTGAAAACACTTTAACAGGTATTGAAAAAACTGCTTGGAATGATTTCCGTCTGGTGGTCACTAATTTCTTGGGAAATAGAAAAGCTGACAACTATAAAACCCTTGTCAAAAATATGCCGTCATCGTATCAAAAGATGGGCTGTAATTTTTCATCAGGATATTTCAACAATGGAAAAAAGGTACCAGGGAAAGTGGAATCCTTCCATGCTTGCAGACTACTGTTGGACTCTTGGTAGAGATGCTCCAGAAACGATCCATAAAAGAACAGCAAAAAGACAGCGCATATAGTGATTCTTATAAGTATATGAATCTTGTTACTTTTTTTAATATATCCTTAAAAATAAAAAGTTTTTTTTCTAAACCGCAACTAATTTTTTTATTTCATTGTCATTTTTGGATTCAGCGCCCCAAAATTAACAAAGAAGTACACTTTTCCCACAAGATACAATTAAAAAACTAAAATATGTTGTCCAGTGTAATTAGTGCGTGTTGCTGCAATTAAATTCTAGAAATTTAATTTATGTTGGTCGAATTTGGGGCCATTGTTTTTCTCGCTCTCGTTAATAACATAAGTAGCAATACTCATTGTGAAACATTAATATTTGCTGATGTGTTGGAATTGTTCTTTGAAATCAACAGCATCATTGATCGTCAGTTATCTAGGTTGGAAGTTTGGTGTCAATTGAATACTAATACAACAGAATTTCGCTAAATGCAAAGTGGTTGGATTTTTTCATTTTCTAGTGTTAATCATAACAAAATGCGTCGAATTCGAAGACGTCCAAATTATCTCGATGTTAGCGACTTTGACAGTGGTAGAATTATTGCCTATCGAGCTGTTGGTTTGTCCTGTCGCGAAATTGGCCACCGTGTTAATTGTCCTGCGTGACGTTAACATGATTTATAAAGTCGCAGCTTCTTTGGGTAGACGCTGCAAATATCAAATAAAAACTCACAATAATATCATGAATTTGACATACAAAACTTATTTACGGCAAAAAATCACTCAACACAGTTTGCTTCTGAGGTAAAGACTTATCGAAGGAGGACTAGTCTAAATCCCTTATAAAGGGTTGTCCAATAGGGACGCAGGAAAGTAAACGTCAATTTAACATAGACGCCATCTTTGTTTTCTGTCACCGACGTGTCATTTTTTTAGTTGAATGTTTACCGTTGATCGCTATGGAGTCGAATTCGATTGAAGACCGCATTAAAGTTATTCAAGAGCACTACAAAAATGGTGCAAAAATAAAAAACACGTTTCGCGTGCTTCGTGAACATTTCGGTCGCAACAACCGCCCAAACGAAACAACCATCGGTCGTCTGGTGCGTAAATTCGAGGCAATAGGTTCTGTGGCAAATCTGCCAGGCTCTGGCCGGCCAAGGAGCGTTCGCACACCGGAAAATATTGCTGTTGTGAAGCAGAGTGTGAGAGACGATCCGAAACAATCAACAACGCGTCGATCCCAAGATTTGGGCATTTCGAGAACCAGTTTTCTCCGCATTCTCCACAAGGATTTGAATGTACACGCCTACAAGATCCAATTGACGCAAGTGCTGCGTCGGGCCGACCATTTTTCGCGCCGAACGTTGTCAGATTGGCTCCTTGAACACCGCCAAATTGATGCCAATTTTTCATCAAAAATCATGTTCAGCGACGAAGCGCATTTCACTTTGAATGGGACGGTAAACAAGCGAAACTGCCGCATCTGAGCGAACTAAAATCCCCGTGAGTATCAAGAGCAGCCGATGCATCCTCAAAAAGTGACTGTGTGGTGTGCATTGTGGTCAAAAGGCATCATCGGACCTTACTTTTTCGAAAATGCGGCCGGGGACGCCGTTACCGTCAATTCTGAGCAATATCACGTGATGATAGAGGACTATTTTTTGCCGCAACTTGAAGGAATGGATATGGACGATGTTTATTTCCAACAAAACGGTGCAACGTGCCACACAACCAACGTCAATATCCATCGATTGCAGTCCTTCTTCGGTGATCGCGTGATTTTGCGCAGAGGAAATGTGCCATGGCCACCAAGATCGTGCGATTTGACTCCCTTGGACTTCTTTTTATGGGGATATTTGAACAGCAAAGTCTACATCAACAAACCAGCCACCCTCCAAGAACTCAAAAACAACATCATTGCCGAGATAAATGCCATAGAACCGACCATGTTGCAAAATGTCATTGAAAATTTCGACCATCGCGTGGACGTCTGTAAATCCAGTCGTGGTGAACATTTGAGCGATATTATTTTTCATACATAAATGGTATAAATGAACCTTCAAAATAAAGTACCCAACTTGATTTGAATATCAATCTTTCTTGTTTTAATATGCGTTTATTTTCCTGCGTCCGTTTTGGACAACCCCATATTTCTCGCCCAAAGAAAATTCCAGTAGGTTGTGATTTTTATTCTGGACACCGATAGAATTTGGCTATATGTATATCTCAATCTGCTGACGCCAGAATAAAGGCTGTTTTCTCACATATGGCAAGGCTTGGAAAAATTTGTAACATCACCATAGCACCAAATACGTCACAGGTTTGTTTGTGAATTTTACGTTTGAAATTTGTAAAGCAAGTTTTGGCAATTGTTCTTCATAAAGAAGGGTGAAATTACCGTACTTTTTGAAAACAAGGCCTTGATATATCGTCGATTTTTTCCTTTATAGTTTACACAGTGATATACTTACGCCACACCCGGAATTGGCTGTATCCTCAAGTTCAGCTGTAACCTTGCTGCAACTTCCAGAGGTATCCCAGTTTTCTAGAAAACCGAAATAAAAAATAAATTGGAATTACTATTTGCATGCAAAGTTTCTATGCTTATGCGTCGATAGATCTGGCGTTTATTATGGAGACTATTTGTTCCCGTCGCTGCGTTATTCGGGTATCGACGACAAAAATAAAGTAGATTTTGCGAGGTAACATATCGATACGTATTTGCCAAAGTAACGTAAGTCACCAAAAGCGATTTCGGAGAAAAAATGTGTTTTTAATTTAACCTGGTTAAACTTTTTTAAATTGTGCAAAATTTACCAGGGCGTTTCTCTGAGGTCTATATTTAATTAAGAAAAATGATTTTTGAAGTTTTTCTATAGTTTTAGTGGTTAATTGATACTTACGTTACTTTACGGGTTCATCAATCTCGAAGTCTTGATCAAAAATGTAACGTAAGTACACAGATACGTCAGTTTGGCGGCAAATTGTAGCACTTAAAGTATTTTGGAAAGAATTAAAAACTATCGTTTATTATTAAAAAAAACAAAATATCGTTACAAAAGAAAATATGAAATTCTTACTAGTAATATATATATATATATATTTTTAAGTTTTGGAGCTTTCATCTTCGTTGTCATCCTCTGCATCAGTTTCTGCTAACTCATCTGGAAGAGAAGACATTTTAATTTAAAGAATTCATCGTGAAACCTGACAGGTATGACATGTAATTAAAAATATTCTTGTACATCGCATTCCTGTTCAAATTGAACACCCACTATCCCATTTGAGCTATGAGTACTTATTGCTACAATTATTTCTTCTTGCATAGTATGGTTACTATCATTTTCGTAAGGACTCGAATTGTTAGAAAACAATAAAATTGATTGATCTATTTCGATTACGTCTTCATTTACTAAAGTAGTTTTTAAAATATTTTCAGAATTATCTAGATCAAAAATATTGTCACTTGAAATAATGGCTATCAGCATAGACCCGATTTCTTCCTCAGAATAAACATTATTCGATTCATCATTTTGGCCTAAGAGCCGCCAAAATCCTTTTTGTTCGTGAACTGACCATAGACATAATCTGAAAATAACCGAGCATTTATGTTTACAATGTTTCATAGCTTTTATAAAAATTAGAATAGAAACAAATACAACAGTCTTTCTCTAACTTCAACCGATTAATTCCTGTAAATTTCTCACAGGCTTCGAGGTTATGACAGAATAACTTCTAATAAATAAACGAAATTAAATATGAAATGGGAGTTTTATAGGTAGGTACATAATATTAGTTAAGGTTTTAATATTTTTAAATTCTAACTACAAAAAAATGTTTTTTAACTTCAACCGATTCATTCCTGCAAATTTCTCACAGACCTTGAGGTTATCATACAATCATTTGCAAGAAATGAACGAAATTAAACATGAAATGGAATTTTATAGGTATGTATACTTTATCTGAAGTCACTTGAAACACTGTGAAATACCAGGTGCGTTTTATATATCTATATTTAACACGCTCTGTTGCTGCAAAAATCGCCAAATTTCGCAGCAAATATAAGATCAAAGGCAGTTTCACCGGTCCACGTGGAGTAAAGCACGCCTATGCGTGGACATAGCCAATGAGAAAGCGTGTATTTCAGAGCTCCGATCAAGTGCAGGTGGCTACTGAAAATTGAAACAGTTTAGCCAGTGCCGTGTAGCGGTGAATAAACGTGTTTTCTTTAGTCTGTCCGTGTTTTTTCATAGATTTTATTAGTTTGTGTGTTTTTGACTTTTGAGTACTCAGTTTACTTGTTGATTTAATTGTTGTGTTGATTGTTCTTGTGTGTCCTAAATATGGCTCTTTGGAGACCTTGGGAAAATGCTCCAAGCCACGAGGAGATGGTTGATGAACCTGTGCAGGCAGAATTCTTTCATAAAGATTTAGAGGAACAGACCCAAAGAGTAATCCTAAATATGTATGATTGTCTGAAAAACGAAAATCCAGATTCCTCGCAAAATCAAATTTTAAACAGAATTTGTATCCTGACAAAAATCAGTCGGTCTACCATTTATCGGGTTATAAAAAGGGGAGATGTAGTCAACCATTCCCACAGGAAGCGCATAGGGCAAAAATAGACGTGGGTTTTCAGGAAGATATTCGTCGTATAATATACGAATTTTATAAAGAAAATTTGGTGCCCACGTTGGAAATGATACGGGATAAATTAAAAGATTATCCTGAAGATTTTTATAATTACAAATGCTTAGACTCACTGCATTGTATTGTAAAAATTTGTGGTTTTCAATACAAAAAATTAGATAAAAGAATGGTGATTATGGAGTCGTCACGAATCGTTGAATTGCGCCAAGAATTTTTGCACAAAGTTAAAATCTATAGAGAGCAGAAAAGAAATCTGATTTACCTGGGTGAAACGTGGTATGATACCCATGATGTTGTGCAGTACGGCTGGGTTGACAACTGCAACAAGTGCATTTTAAATGCACCATGCAACGGTGGAAAACGAATCATTATTCTCCATGCTGGCAGTGAAAATGGATTTATACCTAATGCCTTGCTGTTATCTGCCAAAAATATCAAAGAATCATGTACCGACTATCATCAGGACATGACCTCCGACTTATTTGAAAAGTGGATAGAGCAGCAGTTAATACCAAACGTTTCCCCAAATTCAGTGATTATTATGGACAATGCGCCATACCATTCCCGACAGAAAAACAAAATTCCGAATACAGGCACAAAAAAACAAGACATTATTGATTTTATGAAGGATAAGGGAATGGAAATACCACAAAAATCAACCAAAGCCATATTATTGGATCTTATTAAAAGACAAAAATTTGAAAAAGAGTATGTTGTTGACAATCTGCTTCAGCAAAATGTCCATGAAGTATTACGTCTACCTCTCTATTACTGCATTTTTAACCCGATTGAGTTGGTCTGGGCTGCTTTAAAAAAAAAGTAAGAAAACATAAACAGACCCCTCAATTAAGTGAATCGCTATTGGCCACAATAAGAGATGCAGTATCTCATATTGCTGCCACAGACCTATGGAAGCAGTGTTCTAGGCATATTATTGAAAAAGAAAATGAATATTGCGTTTTGCCTCCTGTAAATCCCGTTGTAATTCCTCTACAAGATGACTCTAGCGACAGCTCCGAAGGCGAGGATGATATATAAATACCTATAATGTAAGTCTTTATATACCTTTTTATATACCTACCTGCTATGTAAATATTTGCCTATGTCAAACGTTGGAATTCTGTAATTTTTCCATTTCTTAACTTTCAGTCAACATAAATTAAACTCCCAATATACGTATTTTTTATCCCAAATCAAAAAAATAAGAAGATAGTAAAATCCATTTATTGTGATATAAAAACATTATTATTATCGTTCTAAATAAATGACCGCACGCCTATGATACGTCATGAAATTACAAAGGACGCGCCGACCAAAGGTTTTTATGCTATTTCAAGTGACTTCAGATAAAGTATACCTACACAATATCAGTTAAGATTGTAATATTTTTGAATTCTAACTATACAAAAATTTCGTTATTATTTACTTACCTAAAATCAATAATTAGTCGATGGTAGCACGAACCTAACACTGTCGTAAGCCAAATACTGACTGCGAAAATCTGACGTAAGTCGCAGAAACCGACAGGGACTTACGTTATTATGGCGGTAAAAAACGTTAGCTTACGGATATGGTTTAAAAAATTCAGGACATACGTTTTCAAAAAAAGTTAAAAACAAAGGTTTAAAGTAAAATCTAGGCTTCCTACACTTTGGCAGTACCTTCTGAACAATAAAAGCCTTACGTTAATGGTAAAACATGATTTTCACCAAAAATGTCACTTACGTTACTTTGGCAAAAATGCGTCGATATTTGTTATCAATAGACATCTATGGAGGTTGGAAATTACAAAAAGCATATCTAGCATCCTTCCGTACCGGTTCAAAAATCATGTAGAACTCGTCCCTCTCCTTGTCAGGTACCACTCCTTCGATGTGCCTGGTGTAGTACGGATCAGCGCTATAGTAATTGGGCAGCGTCACAAAGGCTGGAGAGCCATGTCTGCAATTTGATACGTTCAAAGCTCCAGAAGGCATACAGTCGCCGTCACAGAAGCACTTATTTTCAGGAACTTTTGTACCTGAAAAGAGAAATTTCCGTTACACATACGGCGTTAACGGCCGGTGCACACGAGCGTTAAATTGTCGCGCTGCAAAAAGACGCGCGTAGAAACGCGCGACTGCTCGCTGATAAACATGCTAGTATTCGAAGAGTGGACACTATTTTCCATTCGCCATTAATCACTGTTTTATGGCAATTGGCAAGTAACACAATGTCATATTATCATTACACATGTCGTCGACTATGCAATCCCTTTTACCACATATCAATACAGATGGTTAATTTAAAACGTGGCACTTCTCGTCATTTTCACGCTTGAAGCAGCAAACATTGATATCACCATAACTCCGCTTGCAGAGCCATCTAAGTGAACAAATCAGTTAGTTTAAGCAAAGAGCTTTTTACTATTAGGAACGGCCACATGTTGCCAAGCTATGTAGTGGTCCACTGTGAGTGATCATTTGGAGCTGTCAAAAGCTCTAGTCGGAAAAAACCTAACGGTACTGAGAGAGAAATTCGTCAAACGCGAAAGCGATTTATTTTTCGACATTTGGTTAGGCTTTTTGTTTGATTCTCATCTGCACCTAAACGAACTTTTTTGCGGCGTAACAGCTTATTGCCAATTGGTAGCGGCAGATAGACTCAATTAGCTTAACTCATCGCTTCTGGTACATTGACAGACATATACTTAATATCTCAAATCATTGGTCAAAAGTGAAATATGAAAAGACGATGTTTGGCGACATTGTACCTGAAAAGAGAAACTTCCATTACACATCCGGCGTTAACGGCTGGTACATACGAGCGTTAAATTGTCGCGCTGCATAAAGACGCTACTATTCGAAGAGTGGAGACTATTTTCCATTCGTCATTAATCACTGTTTTGTGGCAATTGGCAAGTAACACAAATGTCATATTATCATTACACATGTCGTCGACTATGCAATCCCTTTTACCACATATAAATACAGATGGTTAATTTAAAACGTGGCACTTCTCGTCATTTTCACGCTTGAAGCAGCAAACATCGATATCACCATCATTTCGCTTGCAAAGCCATCTAAGTGGAACTGATCAGTTAGTTTAAGCAAAGAGCTTTTCACTATTAGGAACGGCCACATGTTGCCAAGCTATGTAGTGGTCCCCTGTGAATGATCATTTGGAACTGTCAAAAGCTCTAGTCGGAAAAAAACTAACGGTACTGAGAGGGAAATTCGTCAAACGCGAAAACGATTTCTTTTTCGACATTTCGTTTGGCTTTTTGTTTGATTCTCATCTGCATCTAAACGAACTTTTTTGCGGCGTAACAGCTTATTGCCCATTGGTAGCGGCAGATAGACTCAAGTACCTTGACTCATCGCTTCTGGTACATTGATAGACATAAATACCCGTGTTTGACGACAGAGGGCGTTCTTGAGAGAAGTTAATATTATCATCGTGTGCTGCCATCTATCAGACAACGGCACAACAAATTTTAGACTGATCGGTAGGTTAGTTTGGATTTGGCAGCCATTCGAGTAACAGTTGTTTCGTGATTTTGGAAAGAGAACAGTGCGACTTTTTCTTGTTCCCTGACATAAAAAATGGCTCGCGGGGAAAAATTTAGCTCAAATGAGAAGGTCATCGCTGAGAGTTCGAGAAATCCTATTTTTTGGGGGGGTTAAACTTTGGAAAAAGTGTATCTTTCTAAAAGGGGATTATGTTAAAGAAGGAAAAGACATTTTTGGGAAAAATTGGTGTTTTCATTTGTCACACGGGTACTTATTGAACTGCCCCCGTATTAATTATATTTTTTACTGTCAATATTCTCAAGCTTTGGTATGATAGTCATCCTATGTAAGGATCCGAGCAGTGCTTTCCGAACTGGCTGAAAGAGATTACCAACAGATTACACGACGTAGATAATGTACCAAAAACAATAATAATCAACGACTCTCATTTAAGGCGAAGCTTAGCTACAAGCTATTCCACCACTCAACCCGTGAAACCACTTAAAATCTCAAAAATGAAAGTTTATGTCCTTGGTTACGCCGTTTTAATGGGTTTTCCAAATTGATTTCAAAATATACTTAATGACTCAGAAAATGCAACACCGACTAGGAGTGCTGTAAGTTTGAGATATCCCACCTTACTGATAATAATGTATTGAAGCTCATCTGTACGCTACACATTCGTTAAGTCGTCGCGGCATTGATTGGACTAGGTGATTGATGTCTTCTTGGTGTATTGTATCCAATGCCATCTGAATTTGGTGTCGTAGAGCTTCCAATGTTTGAGGAGCTTGCGGTAAATTTTGCAACTTTCTTCCCATCAAGCAGATTTACACCCGACGCAAAATCCAATGAATAATTCTGGATGTTGCATTTTATACGTCACTTAGTGCATATTACGTGAAAAACGTCAAATCTACTGTTCGTTAATCTCAATACTCAAAACGTCTTCTTACCGTTGTCTAAGAACTTCTGTCCTGCTATGAACTTGTAACCCGTTATGCCGTGTATCATGACTTCCTCTGCAAATTCTAGTTCAACATACCTGAAAAAAGCGTACATGTACAATCATAATATGCACCAATTCAAGTGTCTTTGGATCAAGCTCTAAATACCAACACACGAAGTGTCGTTTTTCTTGTGACTAGAAAGGATTCGAACTAGGTGAGTCTTAAAGAAGGAGGAAAAAGAGTTTCCATGATTAGAAATTAGAAATTAGAAGTTCTTTATTAACGCACATGGCATTTAAATATAAATAACAATACAAAATATAAAATCATTAATGGTGCATGATCACAAGAGGGCGGTCTACAATCTTAAACACTACTAGATACAACAAGACCAATTATTACTGTACTACATTTCTCATTTTATTCGCAAAAATCCTAAAACTATCATTGAAAAAGTCAATTTTATTGCACTTCTGCACTACACTATTTGCTTTCATACACATTCGAGTTATAGGAGAATTCACACCATAATTTGTCCTATGATATGGAATATGAAATAATGACTTACTTCTTGACTCCCTTGACGGTATATGAAAACCAACCAGAGCAAGGAGATCAGGTGCATTAAGTTGATTGTTCATGATCTTAAAAAGTGTGCAAATATCAAACATATCTCTTCTGTTTACAAGTGGCGTTAAGTTCAGTAGAGTCATTAGGTCCTGACAATTAATGTCATCATAAAGAATGCCAACCTTTAGCCCTATTCTCTTAAGAAATTTTATTTGGATTCTTTCAATACTTACTATCTCTGTGCACAGCATAATAAGGATGCCAAACAGAGCTGGCATATTCAAATAATGATCTTACTAAAGCACAGTAGACATCTCTATGATGGTTGCGATAGAGTTTGAAGAATGACCAGGGTACTCATTGTACAAGTTGCAATAAAGAATATGGATATGTTTTCAAGAAAAGAATGCCGTCAAGAAACATGAGTTGTTGGTGCACGAACAATGCAAAAATATACTCGTAGATTTCGTCTTTTTCGGTTCGGTAACACTGCAAGACAGTCTGGTCCTGGCATTGAACAGGGCGAACGTTGTAAACGATGTAAATATTCAAAAAGGTTCTCGAAGAGTTTTTAAATGTAACAATATATTGACTTTCTGTTATATATATATATATATATACAGGATGTCCGCAAAGTTGGGATTTTCCTTTTCAGAAACAACTACCCTTGAAATAACAAAGGTAATGTGTAGTGAAACGAGGGCGGCCAAGTAAAAAAAAATAAAGGAAAAAGTACTCACTCTCCAGTTGACGAAAAGGGCTAAGTACGTCTCTGCCCGAAATCATACCGCTCCAACAGAAAATGAAATCAGCTGAAGCGCTACCGAGCAGACGCAGAAACCACATTGATTGTCTTACACTTAATGGCACATCTTCTAACAATAAAGGCAAAATGTTGCGTAAAAGTCTAGATATTGCATCCCGTCCAATCGATTTTTGAGAATATATGGTCCAATGAGCATACCGTTCACCATGCCAACCCAAACATTCACCGAAAATGTTTGTTGAAAATGTGCCCGACGGACAGCGTGCGGATTTTCTACTGACCAAACATGAGTGTTGCGAAAGTTATTCACCCCATTACGCGTGAACGTAGATTCGTCTGTCACCAATATGCACTTCAAAAAGTCCGGATTATTGTCATGTTGATGCAACAACGAAACGGATACAGCCCCTCTTCACGCAGCGTTTGCCACACTTTAGTTTTTGATACATGCACTTCTCTAGCCACGTCTCTAGTGCGTTTTGTTTTTTGAAACGCAATCGTTTATATGGGTTCGTTTACCTCTACACGCGTGACCGTAACCGTCGGTTGAAGGTTGCATACTGACCTGACACACTGACCCCGACCCAGTTCTGTCATCGGGTTGAGCTAGTGTCCTAGTACCACTTGGGGATGTCGCGGCTACAGGACGGTATTCAGATATTTTTGATGTTGCAGAGCCCTTTATCTCGGTTCCCTTAAGACATTGGTGTATATGGTACTCAGAAAAATTACTTTTGTTTTCAAGATCTACACGTCGTGTAAAGGAGAACCCCAACTTTGCGGACACCCTGTATATATACTACCTATTTACCTTAGAAAAATAGAACATTATAATAAATTCAAGGACAGTGTGGAATTATTTTTGCAGAGCAGCTGCTTTTACTCAATGCATGAATATTTGGATGGCGAATTCTAAGTGCTTTAGCAATGGTGGATGTGTTTTGTAAGTATACATTTTATTTGTTGTGATGTTTGCTGTTTTTTTTTCATGTTTTACCTAATAATTTATACTATATATGACTTGACATATACACTATTGTGTCGCTTTGGTTAAAAGTAAAATACAAATACAAATACAATGAATCGGCGCGATTTGAATTGTCATTTCATTTAACATTTATCAATTACCTGCATAAATCGGAGGAGAACATCTTAACAATGCTGTCTTTCTTCAGATTCCCCGGGAAGAAATCACCGGCAGAGGCTCCGTCGAATCTCCCACATTTTCCTGGATAGTATGGAGTGTGCTCCTGAAACTTCCACCGTTCCAGTTCTCCGATTTTTCCATCGGACCTTCCGGTGTCTATGTTAAACTCCCCGTCGAAATCCTCAGATCCATTTCTCTGAAACAAGAAGAACAACGATACAAACCGATAACATTGCTTTTATGCGTTCGAGCAGCAGAAAGTTAGTTACGTGTTTCGTGCTTATTGGCAATCATCAGCACTGTAGTATATTAAGTACGCCCCTGGTTCCCCGAACCCCTGAATATTTCAGCCGCAGTAAAGAATCAACGTTGGCGGATTTTGGTTCTTGACATCCTTTACGATCGGTTACGATGCCTAGAATACGGAGACCTGTACGATCTCATCAACTTAGTGAGTTTGATAGGGGCCGTATAGTGGGACTTCGGGAAGCTGGACTTTCTTTTCGGACAATTGCAGTTAGAGTGCAAAGAAGTGTAAATACTGTGGTTAGGTGTTGTCAGGCATGGCTTCGAGAAGGCCGTACGCAAAGAGCAAGGGGCACCGCCGTAGAACAACAGACCGTGAAGATCGCCGCCTAAGATTATTGGCCTTAAGGGACCGTTTCTCCACTACCAGGTCCATTGCAAATGAATAGTTTGCAGAACAGGGAAGACCTATTGGCATGCGAAGTGTTTTCCGACGAATGAGAAGTTTTGGCTTGTTTTCATACCGGCCACACTGGGTCCTCCCTTTAACTCGAGAACACCGACGTAATCGCCTTGAGTGGTGCAGACAACGGTCACTCTGGGATCAGGAATGGAACAGTATTGTCTTTAGTGACGAGTCTCGATTTTGTTTAGGCATGCACGATGGTCGTGTCAGGGTTAGAAGGCGACGTGGTGAAAGGAGGAATCCACAGTTTTTTGTTGAAAGACATGTTCATCACACTGTTGGAGTTATGGTTTGGGGTGCTATAGCTTATGGTTTCAGGTCACCTTTAATCTTCATCAGAGGTAACATGAATGCACAGCGTTATATCCACGAAGTTCTAGAACCCCATCCTTTACCCTATCTTGACACCCTGGCAGATCCAACTTTCCAACAAGATAATGCCCGACCACATGTCGCAAGAGTCACAATAGACTTCTTTCAACATAATGATGTCACATTGTTACCATGGCCACCAAGATCTCCCGACTTATCCCCAATTGAGCACGTGTGGGATATGATGGGTAGGAGATTGCTCAATTTGCAACATCCTCCTCAGACTCCAGAAGCACTTCGAGAGGAGTTGGTGGTTGCCTGGAATGAGATACCACAGGAGGACATTGACCATCTGATCAGAAGCATGCCTAGGCGCGTTGGAGAATGCGTAGCACATCAGGGTGCATCCACACATTATTAAAGGTCAAACGGCTTTAAAGCAGTGCAATCATTTTGAAATTTTTATCATTTACTTATTATGCTTCATTAAGTACTTATACAAAATTTTATTAAAATAAAACCATTTAAACTGGGTGTTCGGATTTATATGTCACTTAGTATATCTAAGAAATATAAAGTGTCTGTACCGCAAGGGAACAGAAAAAAATGTATACAGAAACTATAAGCTTGTCGCTAACTATATTAGTTTCTTAACGCCGACTACATTTCTACTATGTTGTCAGAATCGACGGCATCAAGCGGTCACGGTGGTGACTCGACAGTCGACGCGAACTTAGATACTTTACTTATGAAAAAGTCGGAAAATTTCGCTCACGAATATTTGTTATTGTTCTGAGAAATGTTGGAAGTTTCTGTATAAACATTTTGCCATAACAAAAAACTGTCGTGCTGCTTTGCGTTGACAAACAGAATGTCATTTACCTGTACTTACACCGTAAAACCAGCCGAATTTGTCCATGTTGGGGATGTTGTTCTTGGACAGGAATGGTAGTTTGGCAGCTATGCTCAGCAACGCGTCCGTATAACCGTCGAACAGTACGTCTCCTACTGGACGGACCGCCTCCACAGTCTGGACCATGCTGGATAACACTCCGGAAAATGTCTTCTTCACTATGAAATGGAAGTCTCTGACCGTATAGGCAGCTGACTGAAACAGAAGTAAAAAATGGCGTCAAGCAGCTCGAAACTGCACGAAGTTTGATCGATTTCTATTTTTTCAGTTTTTGCCCCGAAGCTCCGCAGCCACTGGACCGACTTTCGAAAAAAAGGTTTTTCATTCTTGGCATAGTAGTGAAAATAGTGTGAAAATTTCATCCAAACTCGAGCGGTGTTTTCCAAGTCCGTCTATAGGGCCAAAGACTAGCGGACAAACAGACCGACATATCGTCAGTCTAGATCGCGATCACATTACTTCCTCGCCAGTGGCGTATAGAGTAAGCTGAAAATGGTCACTTGCGTTACTCGAGAGAAGCGGGAATTAGTGTGGGGGTTCCACATCCTTGGACCAATTTTATCTACATAAACGATCTATACTAGGTAACATATAAATCCGAACAGCCAGTTTGAATGGTTTTATTTTAATAAAAGTTGGTGAATGTATTTATCTTACTGTAAATAACAAGTGAAAACATTTTCAGCCTTATCAGTTGGACATTCCGGTTTTTATACTGCTTTTTTTTTATTCACTAACGCTCTAAAAATGAATATTTCAGCCGCAGTAAAGAATCAACGTTGGCGGATTTTGGTTCTTGACATCCTTTACGATCGGTTACGATGCCTAGAGTACGGAGACCTGTACGATTTCGTCAACTTAGTGAGTTTGATAGGGGCCGTATAGTGGGACTTCGGGAAGCTGGACTTTCTTTTCGGGCAATTGCAGTTAGAGTGCAAAGAAGTGTAGATGCTGTGGTTAGGTGTTGTCAGGCATGGCTTCGAGAAGGCCGTACGCAAAGAGCAAGGGGCACTGGACGCCGCCGTAGAACAACAGACCGTGAAGATCGCCGCCTAAGATTATTGGCCTTAAGGGACCGTTTCTCCACTACCAGGTCCATTGCAAATGAATGGTTTGCAGAACACGGAAGACCTATTGGCATGCGAAGTGTTTACCGACGAATGAGAAGTTTTGGCTTGTTTTCATACCGGCCACACTGGGTCCTACCTTTAACTCGAGAACACCGACGTAATCGCCTTGAGTGGTGCAGACAACGGTCACTGTGGGATCAGGAATGGAACAGTATTGTCTTTAGTGACGAGTCTCGATTTTGTTTAGGCATACATGATGGTCGTGCCAGGGTTAGAAGGCGACGTGGTGAAAGGAGGAATCCACAGTTTTTTGTTGAAAGACATGTTCATCACACTATTGAAGTTATGGTTTGGGGTGCTATAGCTTAAGGTTCCAGGTCACCTTTAATCTTCATCAGAGGTAACATGAACGCGCAGCGTTATATCCACGACGTTCTAGAACCCCATCTTTTACCCTACCTTGACACCCTGGCAGATCCAACTTTCCAACAAGATAATGCCCGACCACATGTTGCAAGAGTCACAATAGACTTCTTTCAACATAATGATGTCACATTGTTACCATGGCCACCAAGATCTCCCGACCTATCTCCAATTGAGCACGTGTGGGATATGATGGGTAGGAGATTGCTCAATTTGCAACGTCCTCTTCAGACTCTAGAAGCACTTCGAGAGGAGTTGGTGGTTGCCTGGAATGAGATACCACAGGAGGACATTGACCACCTGATCAGAAGCATGCCTAGGCGCGTTGGAGAATGCGTAGCACATCAGGGTGCATCCACACATTATTAAAGGTCAAAGTGCAGTCATTTTGAAATTTTTATCATTTACTTATTATGCTTCATTAAGTACTTATACAAAATTTTATTAAAATAAAACCATTTAAACTGGGTGTTCGGATTTATATGTCACTTAGTATATTAACTTCGTTATTTATGTGCGCTCATGATATGTTGGGTATAGTGGCTGACAAAAACATATAGTAGTTGTAGCAAAAATCAACTAAACTTGTAAGTAATGTACCTGAGTGGTGCAATGACAACTTATTACATTTGAACGTCAATTAAACGAATTTTGTATACTTGTATTAAACGGAAAAAACATAGTTCAAACGAATGCTGCACAGTTTCTTGGTGTGAAGATAAACCATTCATTGAAGTACATCAGAACAAATAATATCAGTGTTATCTGCCTGCTATTTAATATACAGTATTAGAGATCAAGTTAGTACTGAAGTCTTGAAGATGGTCTACTTTGCTTATGTGCAATCTGCAATATAATACAGCATAGTATTTTGATTTGACTCTTCGAAATTTGCCGATGTTTTACTTGCCAGAAACAAATTTTAAGAGCAGTATTTAAATCACCCCAGATGCAGAGTATGAAAAACGCTTATTATTACAATAGAAACTGTAATAATACAGGATGCGGCAGAGAGGATGGACGGTTTTAAAAAAATCATAAAATATACTAAGTGACATATAAATCCGAACACCCAGTTTAAATGGTTTTATTTTAATAAAAGTTGGTGAATGCATTTATCTTACTGTTATCAACAAGTGAAAAAATGTTTAGCTTTATCAGTTGGACATTCCGGTTTTTATACTGCTTTTTTTAATTCACTAACGCTCTAAAAATTTCAGCCGCAGTGAAGAATCAACGTTGGCGGATTTTGGTTCTTGACATCCTTTACGATCGGTTACGATGCCTAGAGTACGGAGACCTGTACGATTTCGTCAACTTAGTGAGTTTGATAGGAGCCGTATAGTGGGACTTCGTGAAGCTGGACTTTCTTTTCGGGCAATTGCAGTTAGAGTGCAAATAAGTGTAGACACTGTGGTTAGGTGTTGTCAGGCATGGCTTCGAGAAGGCCGTGCGCAAAGAGCAAGGGCACTGGGCGCCGCCGTAGAACAACAGACAGTGAAGATCGCCGCCTAAGATTATTGGCCTTAAGGGACCGTTTCTCCACTACCAGGTCCTTTGCAAATGAATGGTTTGCAGAACACGGAAGACCTATTGGCATGCGAAGTGCTTACCGACGAATGAGAAGTTTTGGCTTGTTTTCATACCGGCCACACTGGGTCCTCCCTTTAACTCGAGAACACCGACGTAATCGCCTTGAGTGGTGCAGACAACGGTCACTCTGGGATCAGGAATGGAACAGTATTGTCTTTAGTGACGAGTCTCGATTTTGTTTAGGCATGCACGATGGTCGTGCCAGGGTTAGAAGGCGACGTGGTGAAAGGAGGAATCCACAGTTTTTTGATGAAAGACATGTTCATCACACTGTTGGAGTTATGATTAGGGGTGCTATAGCTTATGGTTCCAGGTCACCTTTAACCTTCATCAGAGGTAACATGAACGCGCAGCGTTCTATCCACGAAGTTCTAGAACCCCATCTTTTACCCTATCTTGACACCCTGGCAGATCCAACTTTCCAACAAGATAATGCCCGACCACATGTTGCAAGAGTCACAATAGACTTCTTTCAACATAATGATGTCACATTGTTACCATGGCCACCAAGATCTCCCGTCTTATCCCCAATTGAGCACGTGTGGGATATGATGGCTAGGAGTTTCTCAATTTGCAACGTCCTCCTCGGACTCTAGAAGCACTTCGAAAGGAGTTGGTGGTTGCCTGGAATGAGATACCACAGGAGGACATTGACCACCTGATCAGAAGCATGCCTAGGCGCGTTGGAGAATGCGTAGCAGTGCAATCATTTTGAAATTTTTATCATTTATTTATTATGCTTCATTAAGTACTTATACAAAATTTTATTAAAATAAAACCATTTAAACTGGGTGTTCGGATTTATATGTCACTTAGTATATTATATACTTATTACAATAGAAACTGTAACAATCTACGACTAAGTATTTAATGCTTTGCCAGTACATATGAAAGACTTGAAAAGTACATATGGCTTCAAAAAAAGTATGAACGCTTATTCAATGAAAAAGGCCTTGAATGAGTACTTTAACTGCCCTTAGTTTTTTTATGTAATGTTTTTGTGTGTACAATGCTTTTAATTGTAAAATTGTGCAATCAATGTGCTTATTTCTTCTCACGTTGACGTTGTCTATGTTTACAATTGTGAACCTTATGACAATAAAATTATTATTTTTTTTAATGCAAGTTATAAGCACATACTTACGAAAGCAACCGGATTGACGCTGATAACGGTATCAGCAAGAGTTCCGTTGCTTTTCTCCGGAACATACCACCATTTCTTCATATTCTTGTAGGTCACGGTGTTATTATTGTTCCAGGTGATGTTAGTTTTTTCTTTCGTCTCATAGAAGGTGTACGGCCCTATCTTCTGGAAATGGGGCTTTATTGTATGGTTATTGATATCTTTCGGATTTGTCCAGTTGAAGAGGTAGAGCTTCAGATATAATGGTACTGGGTTCTTTACCTGTTAATGTAAGAAGAACTTGTGTAAGTTAGCATTCTCATTTATTTTTGGGATGCATGCTGATCACAAAAGGTTATGAGGTCCTACGTAAAATTACATGATCAAACGAACTTACCTGTTAATTATGTCCTCGTCGAAGTAAATGTCTAGAATACATATAGTAGTACCCTCGTAGTAGTATTCAACCGCCACGATTTCAAAGCGCGCACCCAGAGAAGGAAAGCGGAACCGTTCTCCTTCCCCCTCTGGCCGCCTATAAACCTTCATTTACTTCAAAGCCAAGTTGTAACAATTGGGTGGTACACACGGAGCGAGGGAGCTATTTACTTCGACGAGGACTTCACATAGGTTGTACATAACTACACAAATTGTACACAATGTATGTGTCAACTAAATGTACATTTCCATTGTAACAATTCGAGGCCTTTAGCAACAGATAATATGACGTACCTGGTTCAAAAATTACCATCCATTTCATGGTAATAAGCAAATAACGTAATAACATAGTTATGTTTAAGGCGTGGAGACTTGGTTAACCTCAAATGCCGCTTGAGCAAAGCTATTGTATGGCATAAGAGATTTGTGACGTATCTTAGAAAACGCACTTCAGGCCGCCTCGAGCCTGAGACTACTATAATTTATCAGGCATGTATTTCTTCCCGACAAAGGTCCTACCGTAATCTAAGCCCACAATACATGATGGATTATCGATGTTGATTGGAATGACAGCCTTCCAGTGACGATCACCAGGGTAAGCTTGAGAATTAGTGAGAGTGACGTCCTGGGTCCCTCCATCAGATCCTTGCGTTACTTCTAGAAGTGAAATTTCAGGAACACCGAATACATGAACCAAAATCAGGATGGTGACAGGTGCAGCTCCCACTCCGTTTCCACGTCCCACTGACGCTTTCCTTCTCTGCGTGCGCGCTTTGAAATCGTGGCGGTTGTGTACTACTACGAGGGTACTACGATATGTATTCTAAATATTTACTTCGACGAGGACCGAACACAATTATATATTCCTTCCACATCCTAAATAGTATTGGCTGAACGACTATATTTTTCGAAAGCTTAATATTTTGTCTGAAAAGAGGTAATTTGTTGACATCGATTGAACGAGTTATTTTTTAAAAGTACAGTGTCCAGCTTCATGACCAAATAATAAAATATTAATACTACTTATACATTTTACTATTATTATTGTTGAAGTTGACAGATTTTTTACTGCTTTTCTCATGCACATGCTACTATTCGGAATAGACCGGACTCTAATGGACGTTTTATCTAAAAAAAATTTGAATTCACTTATTCACCGCGAATTACGTAAAAGTTATCAAATATCGTTGCCGTACCGTGTAATGTGTCAATTAGCAAATAATACAAGGCCAAATCATAATTGTACATGCCCTCGACTCCGTAAAACATTTTGCTACAAGCCATAAAGCTGGTCATTTTCGGTTATACACGTTTTCGACACAACTCTCTCGTCGTTTTGACGTTTGATGAGATAGATACTCACAAAACCATTTGAGTGGACTTGATGTTATCAAAAGATGAATAATTATGCATCTCTATAACGGCGAACAAATTCTGGAGCTGAAGTCAATCGCAAACATATTTTTTTAACTTTTGGCCAGGTTTCTTGGCTCTGGTACCACTGTGAGACACAATCATATGAAGCCTTAATTGGTTTACCTTTTAAAAACTCATGAACTCACAGCACTTCGTTCAGAAGTTATTCCAAGAAAACATATTTCCAATCGCGTTCTTTCAGAACGTGTACGAGGTCTGTAAATTAAGTAATGAAATTTTTTTGTTCAATTACAGTTACAAATTCATATTGCCACCCTCAAAATGAAGGCGCACATGCTCCCCTGTCTCCCCTCAAGGACCGGCGCCTCCACTGTTGCCAGATCGAACGCTACGTTGCCAGACTCATCACTTAATTTGCAGACCTCGTATCTCCGCAGGGGGAAGTTTGGATTTCTTTATGATAAATTGTCATTATTTTCTGCGTTCTAAAGCCTCCGTACCCAAACTTGGAATGCGCTGGATCCAGGCTGAAGCACCAAGTTCCCTTTGAGGATGGCTTCGTAGATGATGTGCGTGAAGCAAATCAGCAATGTCCCGAAGACTATGAGTATGACTGATACGCAACAGCTACACACGAAGAATGTGAACAGCTTCTTCGGATGCATGGCGGTTGTCAGACTAGGTCTGTCCTGAAATCAAAATTGATAAATTTAGATATAGTAACTACTATGTTCTATGTAGACACAGTTTTGAGATTATTTCAAACTTTTCCGCAGGAAAAAACAATGATAATATTTTTGAGAGTAAGAACAAAATATGAATATTTTCAAGAGGCTAAATATGTGATTACTCGAGCGACAGGGACCTATTTGGTTTTTAAGTTTATTTTCCTGGAAAAGAATGTTATATGATCATTCAGTTACGTAATACCAATTTTTTGATACTCCTAACCAACCATTTTTTGGCTGATATACAGGATGTCCCAAAAATAGCACGCCAGAGTGACGCGGGATGTAGATTGTCTGCAGATCAATCAGACAAAATCAACATGACCTTAGTAAAAGTTTTCTAGTTTTCGAGATATATTATTTTTTGCTCACTTTTTGCCTATAACAGCCATAACGGCTATAAAGAACTTCTAATTTATGACTTTTTTCCTGGGCTACAATTAATAGTTGGATGGGATAATCGAAAATTCATTCCATTGAAAACTAACACGGTATGCTAAAAAAAACCTAAATTATTACATTTGGCTTCAAGGCGAAAACCTTCACTGAAGTCTGACTAATTACTGTCAAAAGAATGTACCAGACTGAATCAGCAAATTACCTTAAAGATTTCCCATTTAATGGTCTTTGAAAAATAGTATGTATAACATTTGTAGGTTATTTTTACTAAAAACTGAATAATTCCAACCTTTTTCATTGAAGTCGTGATACTTGCAAAATACTACAAATAAAAAAATAATAAGTGTATATGTCCAAATTACATCTTTGTAGTAGCTTTTTATTTTAGCAAATATCTAAAACAGCTACCCATTATCCTCTTTCTTTATTCATTGTTATTTGCAGGCAGCAAAATAATGAACAGAACATTAGATTGTATTCTTTAATTTCCATTGATTTTTACAACATTCAAATCAAATAAAGAATCAGAAATCACTATTAACCTCTTAAATTAACGAAATGAAAATTGAATTAACATCTTGTAATGTAAATATTCCCTGAAATAAATGATTACTATTATAATTATAATTATTACTATTTTCACAACAGATTTTCAAAATATCTACCACCGACTCTTATACACAACCTGCATTTTCTAAAAAATTACACTTTTAAACTTCTCAATCTTAAATCGGATATTTTGAGTCCTGCTTAACGGATTCGATGCTCAGTTTATCATCTGATCGAACTGTTTTCCATAGACCTTATCTCTCAAACATCCCCAGTAAAAAAATTCCGGGGGTTCAGGTCTGGGGAGCGTGGCGGCCACAAAATTGGTCCTAGCCAGCCAAACCATCTTCTAGGGAATGTTTCATCATTGATGCACTAGCATAGTGTGGAGGACACCCATCATTCTGTAACCACATCCTTCTTCTTGTCTCAAGAGACACATTTTCCGAAAGAATGGGTAGAAGATGTTGCAAAAAATATGAGTAAATTAAAGCGTTTAAGATCATTTTCCGATTCAGTCTGATACATTTTCTTCACAGTAATTAATAAAAATTTAGAAAAGGTTTTCATATTGAAACAAAGTGCATCCCTTGCTAGATTCAATGAAATGAATGCTCCAACTACTAATTGTTAGAAGTTCTTTATAGCCATAGCAGGCAAAAAAGGAGCAAAAAGGAGTGATTTTTTGAAGGAACTTAAAAGTGGAAATATCTCGAAAACTCTGACTAAAGTCGTGTTGATTTTATCTGATTGATCTAAAGCACATATACCCCTTACTACTCTGAAGTGTTATTACTGGGACACTCTGTATATTACGGAATTGACGTTTGACAGCAGCTGTCGACCGATTCGGGTCGGCTGTCGGTTGGTTCGAATTTTGGTAATAAGCCTGATGATGCCCTTTCGAGATTGTCGGAAATGTAAAAAAAATAGTTACATAGAAATACTTGAGCGTTTTAGATAATGATATTGCATGTCCACGTCTCACTGATATTGGGTCATTAGTAAAAGACTCCAGGTGTATCTTGGCAACCAGTCAACCTAGAGCTAACTTTCGTAACAAAAATGGCCAAGAGAAGTTGCTTAAAACCATTTTCAGCTTCCTAAAGTGGCCGCTGGAGAGCGTAACTATATCCTCACAATATTTTTTTTTGTAAAGTTCAAGCGCAATAAATAATCAGTTTTGCAGATTATACTGCAATACTGCAATACTGTATGGAGGCACTGACTGGTCTGAGTTGGAAAATATAATTGAAAATGATTTGTAAAAATTATTCGGTGGTTTAATAGCAGAAACTTAAGCATTAACTATTTTAAAACACAGTTTTTACTATTTGCATCTTATGCTAGACATTTGGCAAATTACACAATTAAAATTAAAGTAGAAATTAATCTAATTTTTTTTCTGTTCCAATAAAGTTAAAAAGCTACACCTACCAAACACACAAATTAATAACATTAAACTAGAAAAAAGTATTAAAAATAGCAACATTAACGATCTAAAACTGGAAGTGCCAAAGATAAAAGATACCCTGGAATAGTAATGGATCCTCACTTATGTTGGGGCATCCGTGTCAATTATATTTTAAAGAAAGTTAGATTTGTAACGTACAAAATTATACAGGGTGTTTCAGTTTATTGTTGCATAACTTTAAGATTCGATAGAACTTTTAAAATTAATGCAGAAAGTCTATATAAACGTGGGTCGAAAATTGCGTGGCTTCCGAAATACAGGGTGTTCAAATTTACTTTCTTAAATAGTTATTTTTAAATATTTCGAACAATATTTGATGTATAACAGTGAAAATTGGTATACAAGGGTTTTTTGGTACGACAAAACGAACCGTGTTTTAATGTGGCCGGTAGAGGGCGCTCTCTACTGTACCTGTAGTGTATTAAAATGACCGAAAAAATTTTCTTAGTGCAACTTTTTGCTTTTTGAGTAAAAAAACTGATTCTTCGCACTTTTCAACATAAAAAAGCTCTCTTGTGAATTTTCGTTATAGTTAGCCGTTTTTGAGATACTTCGATTTTTAAGGTTCGATGCATTTTTAATTATTTATGATAAAATAACGTTAAAAAGTCAGTATCTCGATAATTTTTAGAAGTAGGCTGTGACTGCAAATATTTTTGAAATTGAAAGCAGAATAAGGTTAAACGTCAAGTAGTTGACAGTTAGTTTTGTTGTCTGTTGAAACCTGAAACGTTTTTTTGCAATTGTGAATGCACGAAATTTAGTTTCTTTTACCTGTTTTTTTTGTAAGTTTTATAAAAATGCCATTTTTATTCTCCAATCAAGAGTTAGCGCATATTCATTTTGTGTATGGCTTTGTAAATGGAAACGCAGCAGAAGCAGCCAGAGAATACGCACGAAGATTTCCAAACAGACGACATCCAACTCGCTCAGTATTGGTAAGAGTGCATCGCCAAATAATTGAAAATGGTTTTGGAAATCTCCAAAGGGATCAAAACATAAACGTTCGTTAGCGCAGATTTACCCGTATGATTCTGCGTGAGTTTGATAGAGATCCGACCACAAGTGTTGGAGAGTTTCTGGTGCCTTGGGAATTTCAGCAAGCCACGTTCACCGTGTTCCTAGAAATGACCACAGACGTCCTTACCACTTGCAACCTGTACAAGGACTACAGCCAGGGGACGGAGAACGAAGAATCACATTTGGTCAGTGGATTCTTGATAGAACTGATAATAATAGGGAGTTTTTAAGTACCGTTTTATGGACCGATGAGTCATGCTTCACTAGACGTGGAGTGGTAAATTTTCATAATCAACATATTTGGTCGCACGAAAATCCGCATGCAGTTCGGGAAAGAAATTTTCAGCATGAATTTAGTGTGAACATGTGGATTGGTATCTACCGTAATCGACTATTTGGACCCTACCTTTTGCCTGCAAGGTTAAATGCTGCGACCTTCTTGGAATTTTTAAAGGCTGAACATGCAAATATGTGGGATGATGTTATGTTAGATTTAAGAAGAGTGGCCTGGTTCCAGCTTGATGGTTGTCAAGCTCATTATTCGAGAATAGTTAGAAACTGGCTGGATGAAAATTATCCAGAAAGATGGATCGGCGGTGGAAGACTAGTCGCCTGGCATCCACGATCCCCTGACCTAAATCCATTAGATTTCTTTGTGTGGGGATTTCTAAAAGAAAAAGTGTACCAGACTCCCGTAATCACAAGAGATATGCTAGTAGACAGAATCAGGAATGCATGTGATGAAATAAGGCCTTATTTGAATAATGCTATACCACGTTCGATCATTCGTAGATGTGAATTGTGTATTGAACAATTGGGTTTACATTTCGAGCAACTACTTTAGATTTTGTATGTGTGTCCTAACTATCCAATAGCATTTTAGTTGTAAATAATTAATTTAATTTGTTAAAAATAATATTGGAAAATTAAACAAATTAATATTCTGTTTTTTGTGCTCATTTGGAGTTAGGAATTATTGCTGTGTTTAAAAACACAATCTAAATGATCATCTTGATTACTTGTAATGCCCAAATCGAAAATATTAAAAAAAATATATTATTTTCCCATAAATAATTAAAGATGCATCGAACCTTAATAATCGAAATATCTCAAAAACGGCTCACTATAACAAAAACTCACAGGAGAGCTTTTCTATGTTGAAAAGTGCGAAGAATCATTTTTTTATTCATTATGCAAAAAATTGCACTAAGAAAAAATTTTCGGTCATTTCAATACACTACAGGTACAGTAGAGAGCGCCCTCCAGCGGCTACAGTAAAACTGTGCCCATGTTTCGTTTTGTCGTACCAAAAAACCCTTGTATACCAATTTTCACTGTTATACATCAAATATTGTTCGAAATATTTAAAAAAAAAATATTTTAGTAAGTAAATTTAAACATCCTGTATTTCGGAAGCCACGCATTTTTCGACCCATGTTTATATAGACTTTATGCATTAATTTTAAAAGTTCTATCGAATCTTAAAGTTATGCAACAATAAACTGAAACACCCTGTAAA